TTAATTTTGCTTCTGCAAAATACTCTCTCCAGATGACATTAGCCCCATTATACAATTCCTTGATATACCACACGTTTGGTGATGATGGGACTCATCCTACATGTCACTTATACTATGATGCACAGGATGGGGGAGGAAGATTGTAGACTCACAGGATTAGAGATCTAGGGTTGGAAGGGTCCTCAGAGACTATCTATGTCAACCTCATTCTGTGGCTAAAGAAATTGAGGACCAAGGAGGTTAATGACTTCCCCAAGGTCACATAAACTTGGGCAAGTCACATCACTTTCTGGGCTTCAGTCTCCAAATGTGTCAGTCAAGGGGTTCACAGTATCATAGATTTATAGCTTGGAAGAGACTTCAGAGAGCACAACCAATCACTTATTTTACCGTTAAGGAAACTGAGGCCCTGGAAGAGCAAATCACTTGCCCAAAGTTAGAAAGGTAGTTAAATGTCAGAAATGTTCATCAAACTCAAGTTCCTCTGACTCCAGACATGGGACTTTACCATTCTCGTCTGACCAGATCTCCTCAGATGCTTCTAGCTGTAATATAATGACTTACATTGTCCCCAGATGTCTTGAACATTCTAGCCTCTGTGTGTCTTTATACCTTTCTACCATTTAGAATGCTCTGTCTGCCCAAATCATGACCACCTTTCAAGGTACAGTTCAATTTTCAGACTCTTCTGTAAAGTCTTTTTTAATCACTACAATCTATGTTCCCTCCATCCTTTGGATTCTAGCGATTATAGTCCATACAACTCACACGACAATGAATCTACCATAACTACTTCTACTCCTTTATATCTGTATAAAACTTCACAGTCAAAAGTATTTTTCATATCCATTATCTCTTTTGATCCTTACAACAATGGTCTTAGAGAGGTGGGACAGTATGCTCTGTTTTATAGATGAGAAAACTTAGGATCAGATCAGTGAAAGGAGATAGCCAGTAAAAGGGTGGTGGCTGAAACCCAGGTCTTCCAACTCCAAGTCCAGTCCTTTTATTTATTAAATCCTTTCTATCATTTTCCTTTACTCTCTTTATTATTTATTGTTATTTAATTTCTCCTGTATTAAAATCCAGCTTCACTCTACATTTTTTGAGAAAAGGAGTAAGGTCTTATAAACCTTTACACATCCCACAATGCCACACACACAGTGCTTCACACCTAGTAGGCATTCAATCAACACTGATGGATCATATCATATTTATTTTACGCAAATTTGATCCAAATTTGAATCAAATGAGATGATGTTTGTAAAAATTTAGCACAGTGCTTGGCACATGGTAGGTACTTAATAAACTTATTCCATCCCTCTCTCCCCACCAAATGTCTCCATGAAATTGGTTACCTAGAGCTTGAAGAAGGTAGGAAGGGCTATTGCTAGTATATATTTTATCAAGAGAGATATACCTACAACTACTTTTTTTAAGCCTTTCAGTTCGGTTTTTATTTTATAATCTATAATTTTATGATTTTATAATCTATAATTTTTTCTTGTACCATTCTTATTTGTAATTGTACAAGTTGTAAGTACTATTCCACAACAAGAAAAAAATTGTGACATACAGCCTTGTTCCTCAGGTTTATCTTTTTATTAAAGCACAGAGTAGAAGATATCTTCCTCCTCAGTCCAGTTTTCTTCTTCATTCTACCAAATAGGTACATTATCTGTGATCCTGTAATATTTCAGATGATTATCAGCTGGATTTCCAGCAAGTGCTTTTGAAGTATCTATATCTTTAACATATATCTCAGTGTGGTACAAGTGGAAAAAACAGCAGTCAGGACTTTTAATTTCGATTTTATCTTTATTTTTGACTTTCTTTGGGAAGTCACTTCTCGTTTCTGAATCTTGGTTTCCTCATCTGCAAATTGAAAATATTTCCACCTTCTCTGACTACCTCACAGGGATCAAATGAAGCCATGTGTGTGAAAGGGCTTTGTAACTATAAAGCACTACAGATGTGTAAGGTGAGCCAGGAAATGGGGTAGTCTTGAAATGGTTACTTTCTGCTATACTTGTCTCTAGTTACAGATAAAGGATGCTTATGGGATTCCTTGAAATAAAAATGAAAAACAAATAAACATTCTGATGAACTGATAGTTTTACCAAGGCTACAAAACATATTTGAATGCTTCATCTTAAAAGCTCTCGAGAACCTATCACTTCCAAGGAAATAAATGTCACGGCCTTTCCTGGGCATTGGATATTATTCTTGAATACTTTTTATGGAAGTACAAGGAAACAGGATAGCTCTCTAAACTGAAGGGCATGTAGAGAAGTATGGTGTTATCAGCAATGGCATCAAGAATGGAATCTATTTTACCTGTGTCTCCCTCTTTCTTCTCAAATGAAGACTTGCTAGTATTTTAAGAGACAGAAAATGAAATCAATTTCAGGAAACCACTGTCAAATGAAAAGGGCACTACTTACTCAAGGAGGAGTGCCATCCTTAGATGCGATTCTACAGGCAAAAGTTTAAGAACAGCTGAGGAATGTGTGTGAGTGTGTTTGTGTGTGTGTGTGTGTGTGTGTGTGTTCAATCTGTGTCAATAAATTGTCATCAATCAACTTCACTAGTGCCTTTTTTCTGTTTCCTGTTACACATACACACACACCCCAAAGCTCTTTTATCTTAACTGTACATCAAAGGTCAAGCTTCAATATATCAGTTAGGAAAGTTCCTGATAGCAGCATGTTAGAATCTTGCAAATGTGGTTCTACAATTTCAGTATCTTCTAGGGGGAAAGATTGGCTAAGTTTATACTGGGGAGGCTCTCCAAACATCAAGGCATTATTGCTACCTACATTGCACTATTGATGGGGCTGCTACCCTTGAAGTCTGCCTGAGCAACTGCAGTTGATATAAGTTATAGTACAGATGGACTTTCTCAAATAACCAGAGCCCAACTTTTCTGAATTAACAATAACAGAGAGTGTTTTCTGGATTAGTAACTGTGAATCCACAAATTCATAGCTGTGAGGTTAAATAGTTTGTCTTTTTGTTTTGTTTGCTTGGGGCTTGAGGCTTGAAGAGAGGCAATAAATTCAGACTTAGACCATAGAATATAGATCATAGAATTTTAGAATTGGAATGGACTTTATAAAGATCACTCAACCCCCCTCATCAGATTCTTTCCCAAATAGTTTGGCAGGAAATTTTAACTTTCTTAAATCTGTGGTGGCCTGTTTGATGTCATTGGAGCTAAATTCAGACAAAAACAGACTCTAAACACATCAAAGATATTATTCAATTCCACTTTCAAGAGTTGAAGGAAAAATGAAGTCTGTTATGCTCAGGGAAAAGGCTGACGCAGTTGCTTAGGAAAGAGGCCCAGTTTTTAGAATCAATGCAAAGGGTTAAAAGGAGGGATAGAGGTGGACAAAGTCAATGTCAGACCCTGAAGGCAAAATAAATTAACTCACCTCCCAGGCTTCTTTTAGAATTGAGGAATTAAGGGTTATACATGGCGAAAATGTCAAGTATAGCCTACCTACATAGAAACTGCAGATTCTCAGGGAGTATCAAAGAAAAGGGATAGACCCCACACCATGTCTTGCTAACTGGTAAGGAAAGAACAGGTGTTCATGAGTTCAGAAAGGCTGATAAATCAAGACATCCATCTGACTTTAAGCAAGAATGACTTCAAACTAATATCATCAGCTGATCTGACACCCTTGAGGGTGCGAGCTGTCAATTCTCCCCTGGCTATCTTTCTTAACCCCTTTTCCTTGGGCTTCTCTCTGGTTTTCTCTCAATCAGTAACCATGCTCTGAGCCACTGGGGAAACTGTCAGTACCATCAACATTATTAATCTTCAGTGGTCATGTCAATGACAGTCACCACTCATATAAGTCCTCTCCCTTCCTCTCCTACCAAAAAATGGATAAAAATAATAGAAGGACATTAGGACTTGAGCAGATATGCTAAATCTGGGGAAATAAACACATGTCACAATTTTTAAAAAGACACAAAGCTTTCTCATCTGCTGTAGAACTTTTAGTTTGAAGTAGGAAACCTATTATTTTTGGCATAGATTCAATAGAATGCATTTATAAGGTTTGCTGCAAGGCAAATCTTGAGTTAAATCATAATGGAAACAGTCCCAGCTTAGAAAAAATTAGTTCTAAGAGTCCTATATAAAGACTTCTGACCCCTCAACTGAACTAAAATTTCAGAATCTACCCACAAAGTGGCTTACATTTCAGATTTGATGAGCCTGAACCACCTGTGGCAATGGGACAGAGTACACCTAACTTGCCTCCCCGGGGGATGAAACACATGACACTGACCATCTTAATAATGCATTCTAACCACATGAAATAACCAGTTCTAATCTGGTGCATGGCATAGTGATGAGCTGGCAAAGGGACCCTGATCTTCTCTACAAACAAAAGAAAACAAATAAATAGAAAAGAAAACTTGTCAAGGTTCATGTTGCTAACAATATATTTGAGATACCCATCACCAGAGATGGTACCCTGGACACGTAACATAAATGGTCCCAGAATAATTGATCTATGCCTACTCAGTGCTTAAACACAATATCTGCAAGCCCCCTGATACACAGGATATAATTTCTTGGGGAAAGTATACCTACCCAAGACTGTGAACTTTGCATCTGGTGGAAGCACTGGTTCTTTTTCTTAAGGAAAAAAGATGAATAGAGATAAACTGGTAGACGCCACAGTGATATGGATCCATAATTCATTGGAGACAATAAGAATACACTTCTCTCTGCATCAAGAGGTAACTGATACATACACAGATGGGTCTTCCTGGACTCTCAGCGAATTTAACAAACATGGATAAAAGGCCTACTATGCAGACAGTGTATTCTATGAGACGTTGGGGGAAAACATAAAAATGAATTAAGACCTATAACCTTCATGGAACATAAAATCAAGCAGAAGGAATCAAGTAAAACGATAAAATCAGAGTTTTGCAAGGAATCAAAGTGACAGGTAAATTCTTATAAAGCAACCTACCGAACTCTTCTTGCAGGATGGACATTTTCTCTGAGGACACCCAATTCTTGACCCAATACATGGAGCGCGGCCAATTCCTTCTGGCTCAACCATACTGAGCTTGTCTTTGACCTTAAACATGAGGTATAACATGATTAGGTTCTGAAGTTTAAGATTAAAAATATCTGGTAACAATGTGACACCCAATTTCTAAAAATACACATACTTTTCCCAGCTGACAAAATCTACAGCCTTGGCTTTCCCATTCTGATATGTTCATGGCCCTTGGGATCAGCTGTGACATTAATGCACACAAAGAGTAAAGGACTTTTGAGATCGTTTGGTGCCAACCCATCATTTTAAAGATAAGGAAATTGAGGTCCAAAGGGTTAAAGTGACTTACCCAGGGTTACAAAGGTAACGAGAGGCTAAGCAGGGATTAAAACCCATGCTGCCTGACTTTCAGTCCAACTCCTTAAATCCAACAAATTCAGTTCTGTATATCTTTAGTATAAAGCTCTTTATTTTTCCCCAGTATTCTATGATCAATATTTACTTAGGTGTTGAAGCTGTTATTCATTCATAAGGATCCTCTCTATCATTCATTCCTTGAAGCATATTTTGAAGAAATGTAACGCTTTTTTCTTATAGAAGTTTGCCATTTGAAACCTGTCTTCATTAGCATATTCTACAAGTAACATCAGCTATGAAAAGTTGAGAAACAATCATTCTCTCTGTCCAAGATTTTAGACCTTTTAGAATTGCTCAGGGATTTTACTTTCATCTAGGCCATGACCTCCATTCATCTAAACTGAGCAAGAGGAAGCTATTGGTAAAGTCTTTGGGCTCAGGACTGGGAGACCCAGCCTGTGGAATTCAGGCCTTCCCTTCAGACTTCACGATGACTTGATCACACTTTTCTCTTAGGCAACAATTCACTTAGCATATAGATTTCACTCACCAATTCAAAGACTCTTAGGGCTTGAAGGTACATTACCAGTCACCCAGCCTAATCTCCCATCTCACCCCCAAATCTCTAAAGCCTGCCAGATAGATGGTCATCTAGCCTCTCCTCAAGCATTCCAATGAAGGGCAGCTCAGTACTTACGACAAGACCTCATTCTCATTCTGGATACCTCTGATGGTTAAGATAATTTTTCATAATGTAATAAAATCCTTCTTCCTCTAACTTCTCCCCACTGGTACTTACTCTGAGCTAGCCTGACAAAGGGTTTCAGAAACTTTTGATCCATGCATCTCTCCTCACGTCACATCCTCTACCCTACCCCAGACCCTCATATAACCTCCTACAAAAACAAATAAACAAACAAAAACCTCACACAGAAGCATTTCTGTTCCTTGACACCATTAGGTTATCCTTGCCTATGAATCCTTTTCCCAGATATACCTCACCATCTTTTCCTTGCTTTGTTCTGTTTCCTTCATTTGATTGCAAGTTCTCTAAGGCAGGGACTGTACTGTTGTAAAACAACATCTAATATCTCTCTCTGAAGCTTGTGGTGGGCTCCATACCTCCAGGATCTTAATCACTGCTCTTAACTGACCTATTACTATTGACTAAAATCAAGATACAGGACTGAATTTGGGAAAAGCTCATTACAGTTATGACTATTAAGAAGAACAGTTAGCATTTACATAGCATTTTATGGTCTGGAAAGCACTGCAATATGGGCAGTATTTTTATCCTCATTTTATAGATCAGAAAACTGAAGATGAAAAAGGTTAAGTGACTTACTCAGCTGAGGCAGGATTTTAATTCAAGACTTCCTGATTACAAATCCAGTACTCTATTCACTATGCCACTTAGCTGCCTATGGGTCTTCCTTTTACAAAAAAAATTGGGGGGAATGGGGAGAGCTACACCTGTAACTTCAGAACTCTTATGAAGAAACTCTCTCTACCAAAGCACATTAGCTTTGCAACTAACCACTGTATAGAGTTAACTATGGTACTGATTTGATCAGGGGCACACAGTCATTAAGTGTCAGAGGCAGGCCTTTAACCCAAGTCTTCCGTGCTTTCAGACTGGTTCTCTAGTTCCTACATGACACTATCTCTTGCTACTGGTCATGCATTTCTTAGAGTTCTGATATGTCCATAGTAGTGACTGGAGAAGAGGACTGCATGGGATATGGTGGGTTTTGGTTTGTTGTTGTTATTGTTGTTGTTAGTTTTTTTCTGGGGGGGGGGGGGGTGGACTGGGGAGAACTAGCCCAGGTTTATTTGCAAGGCTATTGCTAATTCATGGTTTTAAAAATAGTACCCTACATGGTGAATAATAAATACATCAGCCTCTCTAAGGGATGCCTTTTAAAAGTTCCATCTCAGAATATCCAAGCCCTCCTTAGAAGACTGTGTGCCATTAGAGAATTGCATACTATGTAAGTTAGGCTATCCAACCTTCTCTTTTGCATGCATTTTCAAATGAAGAAGTCTAAACTGACAGCTGGGCCAGTAAAGCTTTACCAATTCATGATAAGAAGAAGACTCAAGGCTGGGACAACTACCTGTCTGCCACACAGCGACTGATACTGAGGCATCAGCATTAGGATCTGATATCCTCACCTCAATTTGGTACTGCACATTTTTTTGGGATTCCTCAGGGCTATTCCTGGCCTCACAGGGTGACAATCTCCTCTACACATTTATCTGAGAGCCCAACATATTATCTGAACAGCTACCAGTGGACGAAGGGACAGCATCAAAACAAAATGGCCTCAAGTATCTCTTTTCAAGGTAGGAGAAAGGGAAGAGAAAAATATATCCTGGCAGGCATTATCTGTAGTTTATCAGAGTTTCTCTCCACCAAGTCCTGCCACAGCTTGAGCCTTGCCATTAACAATCTGATATTCCCTTCCAGTCCCCATCTGCCTCTCTCTAAACAGGACCTGTTTCTACCCTAGAAATTGTCAGATGAAGAGCAGGACATACCCAGGTGTGAGGTGCAATGCACCATGAATGAATGCCCTGGCAGACAGCCCAGATCTTAGAGGCAAGGGAACCGAGAATAGGGCACCGAAGTCAGAGCTGGTGGGCTGGGACTCAGCATGGGCCACAAAGCCTGGGTAGCTGTGGAGACCAAGTGACTTTTCTGCAGCAAGATCAGAAACCCAGCACTGAAGCAGAAGTAGCGAAAAGGCAACAGGCAAGAGAAACTAACAGGCACTAAAACTGTGGGACACATGGGGAGGCGAGGAGAAAGGGGAGGAATCTGACCATCCCTTTTCTCAAATCATCATTCAGGTTCTTCTTCTTCCTGCCTAAAGTAGCCACAGATACAGTTTACACTCAAGCTGTCAGTCAAGAAGAGGCCAGCTCTTAAATGTTCATGATTAGCTCCCTTCCTCAATTAGAGAGAGATAAATCACAGCTCTCTCCCAAAGTGAACAGAGCAACACACCCATTAATTTCTATGGCACCAAATATAAACAGCAAATAATGCTCTTGCAAAATCTCCAAGACAGATTATATTTTATGTATTTAATTTCATCTGCCAAAATGTATGTGTTGGGGATGGGGGCGAGCAAGGCTCCCTCTCCTCCCTTACTATCATGTAACATTTTTGAAATGCACCAGTTGCTTGACATTCAGCCTAAAGTAGAAAATCTGTATCATTTCCCCCTACCTCACCCTCATCCCTCCCCCATTTGTCAGTATTTAAGACTTAATGAACTCTTGGCGGGCTCTGCCTAACCAGAGCTAAATGTTCATGCTTGCTATTTAATGGTGAGCTGTCCAATTCACATACATGCCAAGAATCCTTGTCGGTCATCAGAAATATGTATTTATTGATGGCTGGTTAATCTATGGAGAGGTTTTCTGAGAGAACGCCATGCTCCCTGAGAACCACTAAGCTGTGTACCTTGCCATTTAAAAGCACCAGGGGAACTGCAGTAGGATGGAGAATTAGTCCTAGCAGACTTCTTACTTCCCCCCTCCTCCTCAACCCTCCATTGATAATCTCCCAGTGGCTGCAAATGAACACAGGGAAGAGAGAACACTTGCAGCGTTTTAAACCTTTTGGTGCAAGAGACTCGCTGCAAATGAACATTCTGAGTAAACAAAACCCATCAGGCCCCGGCAAGGGTCCGAAGCCTGATTGGCCTAAAAACATCACGATGGAATCTGCAATTGGCAAAGTAATTGGCGTTATTACAGCTGATGGGAAATTTCTGATGCTGCCTGTGTGCTCCCCTTTTGAAATAATACTCAGCCATTTAATTTGTTCAGTTCTCATCGGGCTGATTGCTCTTTTCTTCTGGAGTTTATCAGGAATGAAACGGATTGTCTCTGCAGACTAAGATTTTATATCCTTTTTTTTTTTTTAAAGCTACCTCCTCCCTCCCCCTGCCAGAGTTTCAAGATAGCAGCAGGGATGTATCAGTCCTCATGATGTAATAATCGTGGATGGTTGGTATTCAGGTGTCACTGAAAGCTCTATATTTCTCCGGTTCAGCTGTATTCCTCTTTGTAACAAAGAGATGAGTGACATTCAAACTCAAAATGATGCTGATACTTTGGCAAAGGCTAGTGAAACTGGTAAGGACCCATAATAAGCCCTACAGTGATGCTATGACATGTTAGGGTTTTGTTGGATGTGGCTATATATAGGTAGAGGGAGAACTGACAGAATTGATCCCTGGCACAAACACATCCCTATGATTGATTCCATTGCATTCGACCAACCAATATTTATTGAGTGTCAACATTTGCCCCAGAAACTTTCTGGAAATTTCTGGTCCTGTAACACCAGGCATCTGCAGCCCACTTTGGGATTCTTGTTCCTAACCCAAATCAGGAAACTTACCATGTTTATGTTTATGAAATTCAGAAAGGGTCTGAGCTGGGGCTAAGGACTTTTTCTCCCTCTTTTTCATCTAACAGCTGTTGTCATCCATATGGCAGTTATCCACTAACTGTTGGAATTAAGATGCAAAAGAACCGGCACTGTTGTTGTACCTATGGTTGTCACCCTGACTTTTAAGTCCCATCAAACCTGGACCCAAGAAAGCCCCAACCTCAGCCCTTGCATCACTTTCAGAGAGCTGACAATGGGAATGACCAGAAGTGATTGAGTTTATGGGTGTGAAGAAGGTCACTTTATAAAATCT